TCTTAGCTGCTTTAGACATCCTCCCTGTAAAATAAAGAGATTCTGAGTGCACTCTCTTTCCAGCACTGCCCAGCATGGAAAGGACACTTGGGGACACAGAGCAGTTCCACCCTCACCTGAGAAACTTGTGTCTGCGTCTTGTGTTGTTTCTTCTCTGTTTTCTGAATTTAATGTTACAGCCAGCTCTTTTGAACCCAGCTCATCTAATCAGCCCGTCCAACTGGTGGGATTATACCATGGAATTGTGTGTCATGGTTGCTGAGAGCAAAAGTTAAAATTGGCTGAGTGAGAGGGGACCTTCTGTAGGACACTCAGACCAGATGAAGATGTTGTTTTCAATTTCTATTCCACTTACACTAATAACATGTTCAGTCCTTCCCCACTGATTCTAGGAACACAGCTCAGGAAAGACACTTGTAATTAGTTACCTGGCCCTGATTTCAGATGGCTGCATAATTCAGTCCACAGGCCCCAACTGCCTTCCAGGATGGACCCTCCCTTCAAACACCACCCTCGTGGGTTCTCTCCCTCCTCTATTTGGGGTAAAATAAGTCTTAATTAATATGTTCCATGCAAACTGTCTTTGTATCATTTAAAAAAATCCCTTTTGTTCTTGAAACTTTCCATTTCATTGCCTAATGGATCTTTTTCAACTGTGAAATTAGTGATACCTGAAGTTTAGTGGCATTCACTGTATTTGTTAATATGAAAATGAAGATATCCTCTTTTCATTGAGGGTTTCAGCTTCATGGCAGAGTTTGCTGAAACAAGTTACAGCCCTCCCACAGCACAGGTGCACTTGAACTAGGGTGTGACCCAGGCACTGATATCCTCATGGCCATAGGGACCAAGCCATGAAGAAAGCAGTGACTGCAGGAGAGAAAGTGAGCAGAATCTTTTCCATCCTGTGGAGAGTGTGGCTGTTTCTCTGTTTGGACCAAGGAAGGTACAGGGGCTTCTAGAGATGCATTTGACAGGAGGGAGCCCCCTGACCAATGGGGACATCAACAGACAGACCATGAGGGGCACTTGGGACAGCAGGGATCCCAAGATCTCAGATGAACCAATAATTTTTCATTTAAAAAATAATTCTTGCCTCTGCACATGGGCATAAATCCTTCAGGACTTTAATAACCAATATCTTCATCAAAATAATTCATATGAAAATCACTAGTTAAATGGAAACAGTCCACAGGCTGGAAGAGCAGACACTTAGACTTTACGCTAAGGGCATACATGGACATGATAGTCCTCCCACCCTCTTCTTCCCCCTTTCTGTGTTATCTATTCTGATCTGTCTCCAGGGCTGAGAAACAAACTGTTTTCTCTTTCAACATTACCTCCATAGTGTCTTCTGTCCCCAGAGGGTTCCTATGTAGGTGACCTTGGACACCTTCACTTCCCCTTCCTGTTTCCATGTTCTCAGTCTGGGGTGAGTGGCTGGAATGAGTCACAGCTGTGATGTGCTGAACCTCCCTGGCCACCACAGACTCCAGACCACAGCCAGGGACCGAGCTCCTGACACATCCTCCCCTGCAGAGCCCCAGCATCACCATCCTCCTGGCACACCTCCAAGTGAGTATGTTCTTGATATAAAAATAATCCAATAAACCTGTTTTTTGATTAAAAAAGAACAATCTAAGCAGCTCTCACCTGGGCAGGGAACATACTAGTCACAGGTGAACCTTGAGCCCCAGGACTCCTAGAGAGGTGAGGTCTGAGCAGGAACTCAGGGCCCAGGGGTAAGTCCCTTCCTTCCTCAGCATCTGCAGAGGCTGAGGGAAGAGTCATAGGGGGTGCTGGCGACTGGAGCTGCAGCACCACTGGGACCATCTGTGTTGCTTCTCATAGGGTCATGGGTGACCTGCCCAACTGCTGAGTGCTGCCTCTGGGCCTGAGAGACCCTGGGAGCTGCTGAGGGTCTCACAGAGGCTTTAGAAATATTTGGGGTGGGGAGCATAAGGCTTGGTTGGCAGCTCTAGACCAGGAGCCCCACGATACCCCCTCCTCTGGTACCTCTGCACCCTATAGGGTTCTTCAGTTCCCTATTTTCTTTTCCTAAACTACAAATTTGGCACCTCATGTGGGTCACATTGGCCAGGTGTCAACCTCCCTGAGACCAGCACGTGTTCTAAATTCCTGATGAACTGTTAATCTTTTGTCTTTAAGCAATGGACAATTACTTGAGCAGAGGGATTCTCTGAGTTTTCTGTAGAATCTTTTCCTGTAGAATCTTGCCTAGTGAAGAAAGAAGAGGTCAGACGGCCAAGAGTTTAGGATTTCAGAGGAAACAGCAGATGGATGGGGTGTGACAGAGAAGGCCCTGAGATGATTTATGGCTGCATTGTGCAGGATGGAGTAGGTAGATCACAGGAGGAACCTAGGCAGAGCTCCATGGTGCTGCTCAGCCCTCTCATCCATTTCAGGGAGGAGGAGCAGCTCCCTGGGGCTCAGGCAGCCTTCTCCTCCAAGCAGGTGTGGCTGACCTTGCATGGCCTCTGCTGGGCCTCAGGGAGGCTTGTTCTTTGCTAGTTTATACAGAGAATGTGGTGAGCTAAGGACCTCAGGAAAGTGGGACAAGGAGCAAATGAGATGTGCACATGAAGGTCAAGTTCTGATGGACTCCTGATTCCAGCCTGATGCTGTCCTGCCCTGGTGGAGAGCACTGGGCCCAGGTGGGGTAGAGAGTGACCTGGGGTGGCAGCTTCTCCTTTCCATATGAGTTTGCCCAAGCAGCATGTCAGGGAAACTAGCTGACTGGTGAGGCAGGAGGACCTGGGAACTCCATGCAACAGGAGCCTGCTCTAGCCTCTGCTGCTTCCAGGGCTTCCCTCAGTGAGCCTCCCCTTATCACAGAGAGAAATGCTGAGAGTCACTGGGAGAGTCCTGAAGGCCTCTGTTCTGGAAAAGCCATAGGACAGGCAATGGCAGTAGTGCCCCAGCCAGTGAGCCTTCAAATTGGGGAACAGCACGGATACATGGACATAGCTGGTCTCACACACATGTCAATGTACACATCAAAACTGTATGATTTATATGTGCAACACTTTCCAGTACTGCACAAGCTGGTGTGCCCTAGGACTGATGCACAGTCATGCTGTATATTAATCTAGGAGACTTACATTCACAATGTTGATGCATTGCTAACACTCACATATCCATGAGCATTGGTGGATATGGTGGATATGCATGTGCTGAATTTTCTGGTGTTAATTTCTTCTCTACTTGACTTTATTCCTTTACCTAGTTGAGTTATTAAAATTCCTAGTACTGATTCTCTAAATTATTTTGTAACTCTGGAAGAATATAAATATAGTCTCCATATAAAATGCCAAGCTAAGGAATTTCCTGACTAGCTGGCTACATGATAACCCCTGAGGAAAAGTCTGAAGGAAGTGTCTTAGGGAAAGCCCCAGAGGTATGGTGGGGTTTTTCTTTAATGTGAGTTATAAGTACGAAGGCCACAGTGGGAAAACTAGAAAGGCAGAATGAGCCCTCAGTGACACACTGTGACTGTGAAGGCCTGTGAGCCTGTCCAGGAGGAGTGTGGATAATAGAGGGTTAAAGAAACAGGGTGGCCAGGGCCAGTGGGCAGGACAGAGGGGCTGAGCAGGGAGAGCACCAGGAGGAGAGTATAGTGAGCACTGGGTGCAGTTAGTGGACAGCAGGGCCCTGGGCCTGTTGGGAGGTGAGGAAAGCATTTGTACTGGATTTCAGGCTGCTCCCTGGGTCTCTGCTGAGTTCCTCTCACTGCTCATCAGGACTGTGCTGAGGCTAAAAGCATGAGAGAGTGGTAAAGTACCACAGCACACTTTGGGTGATGATGCTGTACTGATTCTCTGTCCTGTTAAAACTTGTTGGACAGGAGGATGTGGGACATTCTATTACATCACAGTATCATGGACATGAACAGTGAGCAAGGGCAGCTGAAGTACCTTCTCCTGCCACAAGTTCCATGGTGATGGATCTCCACTCAGCAAATGGCCAGCTTCAGTGCCTGTGCTGGTAACTTCTAGAATGCTAGGGACATGATCTTCTGGAGGAAGAAGCTCTAACTTCTGAATGGATGAAGATTCCATTGGGAGCTGACAGAGCATTAATAGCTAATTACCCTTGGGCTAAGAATGGCTCCAAAGCAAACACATTGGACTCCTGTGGGAAAAGCGGAATATAGGACATGAGGCTCAGAACAGGGAATGTAGCCTGAAGAGCTTCTCATCCTGACCAGGGGAGGTTGTGGGCCAGGCCCTCACCACCCCATGTGACCCATGCTGAGGAGCCCAAGGAAACCCAGCTAGATCCTCTGTTGATCAGAACCAGTCTTTGAGGTCCTCCACAATTCCCAGGGGAGAAGCTGGGATCTGGTCAGACATGCACTTCACACAAGGCAGAGAGGAGAGGGTTTTAGAGTGTCATTGAAGAAAACCTTCCTGCCTGCTGGGCAGCACTGGTGTCCATCTCAGGTACCTAGTGCCTGGAGCCTGAGGAGCCAGAGCCAGGCCCTTATCACCTGGGCATTGGTGGTTTCTTGTACCACACTCTGGGGCTAAAGAGAGCTGCTCATACTACATCTCACACAGGGTGAGTTTCTCCTGGGCCTGCAGGAAAGATCAGTAAGGAGCAAGGAAGAGGTGTGGCCTGGTCACACCCTACTGGCCAGGACAGTTAACCCTACCCCCATGGAAAGGACCAGGCATGGAAGATGAAGAGAGAAGTGAGACCACAGCCTCCATGCTGTTCCCTGTAGGACTGTTCCAATGTCAGCTGGACAGTTTATTAGCCAGGTGAGGCATGAGGAAAGAGAGGTGAAATTCTGTAGCCGAGGAGGGAGATCTGCCCTCAGGCTCAGCCCAGGACTCTCTTGCTGGGACCAGCTGAGTGTTCAAGTGCAGACAGAAGGAGGCAAACTCTCTGCCCCTAGGGGTCCTGCTGGCCCCTCCCAGCTGCTTTGCATGCTCTGCTCCCACTGCTTTCCAGAGCCATATGAGTGACTGCTTAAGGCTCTGAGGAGCCTAGTGTTAGGTTGGACCCTAAAGTAGCCATGGCAGCCCGCATTCAGCTCCTTTCCCTCCTGTTACTCTGGCTCCCAGGTGAGGGACCATGGGATAGTTCTGCACATCTGTGAAAACTCTTTCATTGTGGTTGAGTCCTGTGTCCTGGCACCTTTGTTTAGCAAGCCCAGTGATTAAAACTCAGGGTGCTGCAGGGTCCTGGCTCTACTGTGGAGAGTGGGATATGACCTAGACTGCACAGGTGATCTTTCTGTTCTCTTTCCATCTCAGATACCACAGGAGAAATTGTGCTGACCCAGACTCCAGCCTCTGTGGCTATGTCTCCAGGGGAAAGAGTCACCCTCACCTGCAGGGCCAGTCAGAGTGTTGGCAGCTACTTAGCCTGGTACCAGAAGAAACCTGGGCAAGCTCCCAGACGCCTCATCTATGGTGCATCCAGCAGGGCCAGTGGCATCCCAGCCCGGTTCAGTGGCAGTGGGTCAGGGACAGACTACACCCTTTCCATCAGCAGCTTGGAGCTTGAGGATGATGCAGTTTATTAATGTGTGCAAGGCCACACAGATTACCACAGCGGTTCTGTCCCCTACAAAAACCTCTCCAGCTCCGCTGCCACCCTCTCTCCCCTGGGGCACAGCGGCTGCCCCCAGAGGCACCCAGTCAGATATTTTGCACTTTTCTCTTTCCCTGCACCTGCAAATTTGTGTGGTAGAGGATATAAAACTTCATTCAGGTCTGAAAGATTCATAGTCTCTTATGCCCTCTTTTGCTCCCCTGGAATAAAATATGAGAGATTAAAGAAGATGGGGACACTTGGTATTATTTCCCTACTTCACCAGGTGAGGATGGAGTCTCTGGAAGAGTCATAATACACCAAACACAGGTGGAGTTAAAGGTGAATCCCTAAGAGTAATTGATTTTTAGATATTTATTTCCTTCACATTTTGACATCAACAACATCTTGCTAAATCTGTCAAAGTATAGACACTGTCTACCATGGCTCCAGAAATAGCTCCAGGTTCTGCTCACATTTACTTCATAACAAAGCCAGGGTAAATTGGGGAAATCTTTAATACTTTCTTTTTCCTTTGTGTCCAGCAAAAAAAGAAAAGCCTCTCAGTTCTTCTTGCTTGTCCACCTATAGGGAACTCAGGGCTCCAAGGAGGTGGGAATTGGTGGAAGGTCAGGCTTTCTGATGAGCACATTCCTCCATCCATCCTAAGGAGCTAACATCTAAGTGATTTGTCAGTGATTTGTCTTTTTCCTGTAACAATCCTGCATCCAGATGTTTGACACTGAATAATGAAGAGTGTGAATACAACTGTAGCTCAACACAGCTGGACATAAATTTCTTAAAAGGTCAATCACTTAGGGAGCTATTTAGGAAAAACCTCCAGAACCCATTCATGGACAATTTGCAACAGGTTATTTCAACAGTGAAATGCCAAGAAAATTCCAGCTGTCCTAGCCAATTATCCTTCTTTTTCTTTTCTTTTTTCCTCCTTTGGCCAATGAACTTTCAAAATCTCAAGCTCAGTATCTCACATGCAGAACCTGATAACTACCCCTAAGGGAGCATGTTCCTGCAAAGAGGCACCATGACCTTTTCCACCTTCATGAAGGGCCTCAAACTCCACTTCTCACATCCTGGTCCACAGGCATCCTCCTCCCCTTCCTGGAGTCCCTCTGCTACCAGTGCTGGGGAGGCAGAGGTGAACTGAGGCCTCCTGTCATCCATGCCAAATAGCCTCACAGGAAATCTCGCTCTTTTTGCAAACCTGGGTGTCCCAGTTTTGCTTCCATGTGCATCAGCATAAGGCCTGGTTGGTGTCAGTAACATTCATGGAAACCTTTGGAATCCCAGACCAGCCCATCTCTAGAGCTCAGGTTTGCTAGCAAGATCCCTCCCACTAGATGGCTTCCTCATGAATGTCTGCCACTCTCTCCAGAAAAAAGTGTCCCTGTGCAACTCCTGCCATTGTGTGCTTCCCACTCAGTGAAGGTAATGGACACTTGTCCCTCTAGTGCTCTTCTTATGTATGGTGAAGGAAACTGGGATGTTTTTGCACAGATTCTTGTGCTTGAATTTGAATATTTAACAACCCTGCCAGGTGTTTCACTATTTCACAACAGAGTCCTGGTATTTAGCATTGCTACTCTGACTTCACACAAAAATCAGCTGTTTATTATATTCTGTTACCTGGGAAATGGAAGAAACACATTTTACTTTCCTTCTGAGGAGTCAAGGAAATTATGGGTTAGAAGATGAGAAGAGCAGAGTCATGACCAGGAGCACTGACTGCAGAGTTCACTCTGGGCTCCTCCTAGGCACACTTTGACTTTAGAGCCTCAACATCCTTCTTTGCACAATAGAGATAAGAAATTTATTTTGCACAGGCTCCTGTACTGAATGTTATAGAATGATATTAAAGGAGACTGTCAAAAAGTAAATATATCTTTGTCTGCTGTTTTTTGTGTTGAAAAGCCTAATATGAACATAGTAGTCCATCCCAGTGGCTTGCAAGGCTGAGGCAGGAGAATCACAAGATCAAAGCCACCTTCAGCAACAGGAAGGCACTAAGCAACTCAGGGAAGCCCTGCCTCTAAATAAAATACAAAAGAGGGATGGCGATGGGGCTCAGTGGTTGAATATCCTTGAGTTCAATCCATGGAACCAAAAAAAATAAATAACAAAAAATAAAAGTAAAATAAGATAGCAGTCCATCTCAATTTCATAAACAAACTCAATGCAATAATTATCAAAAGCAAAATTGGGTCTTCTTTTATTCTTTCTTTTTTTTTGCACAATTGTCAATGGCTTCTTACAGTTAACATGATAATGCATGGGACAAAGAGAGACTAAAGAATCTTGCAAAACAGAAGTGCACTGAGAGGGCTCAATTTCTGATTTCCAATGCTTTTAATTTAATTTTCTTGGTTGTTTCTATGTGGTGCCTGGCAGAGAACCCAGGCCTCACCCAAGCTGCCAGTGCTCTCACAGTGACCACACCTCAGATCCTCCCTTCTCCCTACTACAGTGCTGGGGAGTGAGAAATCACTGTTCCCTTCAGACCCAGCAAGAGCATTAGCATTGTCCAGCCTGGCACAATGAGGACCAGGCCTGGCTGCTGAGCTCCTGCTGCCTCCTGCTGCCCTCTGCACACCCTGCCTGCCTGGGAGGGCTGTGGGGCAGGGACACAAGGTCATTCTGGCCCCCAGCGGCCACACATCCTTCAAGGAACATGAACTTCTTCCTGTGCCCACTGGGGGACAAACCTCCATTCAGATGCTGCTTGTGCACAGGGCTGCTGACAATCTGAGGACGCTCAGAATACCAGGTTGTGGACAGCTATGAAGTCACAACCTCTCTCCACTCCCATTCCTTTTCCCTGGATCCTAGACTCCTCCAGTGTCTCTCCTCTGCACTCCTGCCTGGGTCTTCTCTGTCCTGTCCCCTCCTATTCTGAGTTTACACCTGTCAGTCCTCACTGCCCACATGGCTGTCCTCATGTGGGTCACAACACTGCATTTCCTGGCCCTTGGCCTGCCTCTGACTCCACCCCTTGGATTCTCATGGGAGAGTCAAAGGTGGTGCCTGGTGGTCTTTAGAGACCAGAAAGGAGAGCAGCCGGTGTTCAGGGCTGTACATGTGGCCACCATGGTCCACTGTGAGCAGAGTCCTTGCATCATGTCACCTGTGACCTACCAGTGGCACCTCTGTTTGTCCAGTCAGAGGGGTGGCCAGAAGCTGCCGTGGATGGCTTTGTCCTGTGACCATGCAGTCATTGAGCCAGCTCTTCTGCCCTATGTGGGGGAAGCAACCATACAGGAGCTGCCCATGCCCAGCTCTGGACACAGAAATTCTATTTGGGCCACAGAACAACTGTGCATCTCTATGATACTTGCTTCTCTCTGTGTCTCATCTTCTCACTGGAGCCCATCACAATCCCCAGTGTCCTGAGCAATGAGAAAGTCACTGTTCCAGGTAGCAGGAGGACTGTGTGCAGATCCTGAAATCCATGTGCTCATGCTTAGTCCTGAGAGTGGAGAGGCAGCTGTGGGTTTAGGCAAGAGATGCCAGCTTTACCTGTCCCGGCTCAGGGTGTCTGAACTTAGAGTTCCATGGGCAGGGTGGCACACACCTATAGTCCTGGACACCTTGAGACTGAGGGAGGAGGACTGCATGTCCAAGGCCACCCCAGGAAAACTATAGAACACATAATGTGAACAAAAGGGAGGTGACTTGGATGTAGTTCATTGTGGCAAAGCATGTGAAAACCCTGACTGCATCACTGCTGCTGAGAAACTAATAAATAAACAAATAAATAAATAAATATAAAATCCTACATTTATCAAAAAGTCAAGAAATACCTACGTTCATATACATATTCATACTAAAGTTACAGAGTAAACGCAGATGTGTCCATAGGATTTATATTTTAAATATTACATATGTGGCATGGATTATTCCTTTTAGTTCTAAGCAAATTGAATTCTGGCTGAGAAGTGGCTCTGAGGGTCTTTGCTGGCCCTCCTCTCTGGTAGGAGGGTCTCTGCCCAGGAGAGTGAACTCAGCACTGAGTGCAAAGCCAGGTGAGAACTGACTCCTGGTGTCTGAACCTCCCTTGGCCTTGGCCTCTCAGATTGGCTCAGTCCCTGGTAGTGGAGCACATTCTTCCCCTGGATCCCTGGCCAGGCAGCCTGAGGGCAGGGGTTCTGCTTCCCCAGGTCCTCACCACATGCCCAGGAAAACCTCCACTTCAGAGCCCAGAGTTAGAGCCTGCAGCTCTCAGGCAGCTCCAACCTGAGCCCAGCCTTACATGAGATCCTGCCCCAGCCTCTCCCTTCTATGTCACCAGCAAAGACCTTCTTTCATCAGATGCTCTGCACACATTCTCACAATTGTCCACCTGCAGGTTGTCACCTTGCTAAGGAAAAGCTTGACCTGAATGTACTTTTCCCAGCCCCATAGTAAAGATTTCATTGTAATCACTTTTTCCTAAGGAACTTAGCACAAGCAGGGATATTTAAATAGGGTGAAGCTTTTAAAGCTCCCCCTTTTCCTTTAATTTACTGTGCTCCAGCTCTGTCCTGCTGTTTGTGGTAGGAATAGGTGAGCCCTCCCAGACCAGGACAGGAGGAAGTATCAGGGAACAACTGATGATCCCATAAATGATGTGTAACTGAGGGAGGGAGGGGCTGGGGCTCTGACTCAGAGGTAGAGAACTGTGCAGAATCCACCAGGCCTTGGGCTCAGTCATCAGCACCAAAGGGGGAAATTAAAGATAGGAAAGAAAGAGAGGGAGAGGGAGAGGGAGAGGGAGGCAGGGAGAGAGAGAGAGAGAGAGAGAGAGAGAGAGAGAGAGAGAGAGAGAGAGAGAGAGAGAGAGAGAAGGGGAGGAAATAAAGTAAAAAAAGAAGAAAAGAAAAAAATGATCATGGACATTTACAGGAAAAGGTTTTGAAAACTCTAAGAAGAGCAGGGGTAAATAACTTTGACCTGCTTTATTTCTGAAAAAAGTTATAAGAGGACCTGATGGAGGTCATGATGTTTAGAGACACTGTAACCATCATGAGGCCATGAGG